CAGGTTTATCTCAGGGCAGTCTGGAGGGTAAATCCCTTTGGGATGTCACAGAACTGGGTCCACGGGCAGAGCTTGGGGATCCTTCTGCTCCTTTGCTGCAGCTTCGTCCTGCTGGGTCTGGAAAGAGGAAAACCAGCCCCCTGCACTGAGCCCTTGTCTCCAAACCATGAATTCCATCTCCTTGGGAGCCCCGTGAGCTGCTGCGGCACCTCCACGCGGAGCTGGCAAAGCCCCGAGCCCCCAGCAACAAGATTTCTCGGGTCTAAGCTCAGGTTGCTCTGACTTCTCCATCTCACCTGCCCGTGGGATCCTCCCTGCGGAGCATTTTCTGCCCTCCAAGGTTTACAAGGTCCTTCAGTGCCATCTGGTGACGCAGCCGTGCAGGGAAGCGGTTTCCGTGCTGCTGGCTCCGGGGAGAGCTCTGCGTGGGAGGACGGGCGGCGCGGCAGCTCTGCTGGGGTCGGTTGTGAAGACAGCAGGAAATTCAGATGCCAGCAGATGTCACAGCATGGTGCTGCTCCGAGGAGACCTTCAAGATCGAGTCCAGCCGTTCCAGGGATGCCCATCTGCTGCAGAGACACGAGGAGATGCAGACAGCAGAGCTGAAGGAAAAACCTCAGTCAGACTTGCCCCAAACAGCTCGAGGGGTTAAACACAACTTCACAAATTCCTCTCCCCAACAGCCTCTGTTTTGGTCCCGATTCTCATCAAAGGTGTTAAAGAAATGCTCAGGATCTGTTCTGGGCATTGGTACAGCCCAGGCTGAGGAGTCTCCGTGTCTGGAGTGATGTATATTTGTTAATACAACTCTTGGAATTCTTTATGCTAAATTATGTCTTGCTGCAGAACTTCTGTCATAAATTAGTGGGTGTTTTCTTACAAGAGGCTCCTGTGTTTGTGGAACGTGAGCAGGGAAGTCTTAAATAAACACTTCTGGGTTATTATCACCAGTGCCAAGCGCACTCGGGTCTCTACGAAGCAAAGGCAACGTTTGGCCACAGGAATTTGGAGTTTGAGGAAGCAGCAGGGCTGGAATAATCATAGGGTGGGTTGGAAAAGGACCTCAGAGATGATCTCGTTCCCACCCCACTGCCCCAGGGGCAGGGACACCTCCCACCCTGCTCCACACCCCATCCAGCCCGAGGGTGGGAGCTGCCCCTTGGGGAGCCTGCACACAGAGCAGGGAACATCCCCCCCAAGCTCAGGAGGGGGATTTTCTGCCCTCCAGCTGCTGTGGTTTGGTTTAGAAACCGAGAAGAAACTTGGCAGGGAGGGGAAGCAGCATTTCCACCCTCCCCCAGCTCCTCCAGGCTGCTGCTTCACTTCAGAGGAACAGCCTCAGCGATGTTAAGGGCAGAAACAGCCCCCCCGGGCACTCACCAGGAACCACCTCACTGCCCAACCCAAAGCAGGAGCAGAGAACACCTAAAAACCATCTCCTGCCCACAGCCTGCCCCTCCAGCTCAGAGCTGCACCACATGGAACAGCAGCAGCCTCCTTGTAATTCACCCAGAAAGCCACAACAACCCTCCCAGGAAACCTTTTACCAGCCAAACAACCAATAAACCCATTCTCGACTTCAAGCTTTTTGCTTTTATTTCTTCCATCAGCCCAAAGCACCAGCTTGTCTCAGCCAATGTGCTCCTGAGCATCAATCACCCCTCATTAAGCAAATGAAAGCCCCAGCTCTTCACAGATTAGGTTCTCAGTTGGGCTCTGAATCAAATCAGGGAAATTTGGGCACCTGATGATTTCCTCAGAGAAGCCAAGACACATAATTTGCTAATTGATGAGTGTTTAAATGCAACCAGGCGAGGGACAAGTTCTGCCCCAGATTTCCTGCCCTCAAACCCGGGATCTTTAGTTTACCTTTATCACGCTAAAGAGAAAAGAAGAAGCCAAACAGACCTGCAGGTGTCAGGACCCTGGAGGGGAAAACGTTCCAGGTTTTATCACTGGAGGGGTTCAAAACATGATTAGATGCAGGCTTGAGGTCTAGTGGTCAGGGAGATGTTGGGATGAAGGTTGGACTTGATGATCCTGGAGCTCCTTTCCCACCCTAACAACTCTAAACTGGAGAAGGTAAGAGGCATTCCCTTTTTTCTAAGGGGGTTTTGGTCCAATTCTTGATCCCACCCTCCTCTTTTTGCTTTTTTTTCTATTTTTCCCTCCCTATTTATACTTTCAGTGCCAGGCTGTTGGTGATTATTATCTCCTTGGAGAAGCTAAGCAGAAATTAAGCCACACCTGCCTCATAGCTCTTAAAATCTCCCTCAGAAGGAGAAGCTGTGCAAAAAAAAAACCCCAGTTCAGGCCATTTATTAGCTGGAAACTGGCTCCATCTGCAGGAGTTCCCTGGAACCACTGACGGTTCCTCCTCGCTTGCCTCCGACCCAGCATCCCCGGGATATAAAGAGAGAGTCGAGTGGCCTGAGGCTCTGCTGGAGCAACGTGGGAGCTCAGGGGGGTTTATGGCTGGTTTTTGAGGAGCAGGTTTCTTCTAGGAGCTTTTCTGCTTTGCAGAACCCATCCTCTGGGGGTTTGGTTATCAGGAGGGTCTCTCACAACGTGGGGAGGTCTTTGTTGTTTGTTAAAACCAAGCCCAATCCTAAGTAGTGTTCCAAGAAGCTGGTTTACAGATTGGGGCTCCTTTGGAGGCCATCTACATTTGGGAGGGGAAGAAAATTTTGGTGCTGAGCCCCTGGCCCAGGCTGCCCAGAGGGGTGGTCGCTGCCCCATCCCTGGCACCATCCCAGGGGAGGTTGGATGGGGCTCTGAGCACCCTGCTCTGGTTGGGGATGTCCCTGTCCCTGCAGGGGGTTGGACTTGATGATCTTCCAAGGTCTCTTCCCACCCAAACCAGCCCGGGGCCCTGGGTGCTGGGTGGGAGGTTTCATCCCTCAGCTGTGAGGGGTGTTTGTGTCCCCCTTGTGCAGGTGCCTCCTCGCCCAGGGGTGGCTGGAGATCAGTGTGGGCTCTTCTGTTCTACTTTGCTCTTCCAGCAGACATCACGTTGACTTCCAGCCCTCCTCTGGAGCTTTTCTTTGGGGCAGGTTTGGCAGCAGGAGCATCCCTGTGTTGCTGTTTGGTGGCGAACGAACCGACTCCGATCTATACCTCGGGCTGACCATGTGTGGGACCCCACGGTGTATAAAATAAGTCAGTTTTATGGCATTCTGGGTTTATTTTACTTTGGAAGCTGCCTTCCAGCAGAGGGGGTGAGGCAGTGAAAAGCGAGCTCCTCGGAGAGTCGTGCTGGGAGTTCAGGCTGCTGCCAACAAACAGCTTTTGTTTTCCTCTCCCTCCTGCCCCAGGATGTTCTGCCCTGTTCTTGGGGTTTGTGGAGGTGCAGAGCAGTGGTGCCACCAGCCACAGGAGTCAGCCAGGCACGTGAAGTTCTGAATCCCAGCTTGGCTCAGGCTGAATTTTAGACCCTGGACATCCAGGGCCCCAGAGCACCTCGGTTTTGTAGGTGTCCTCTACTCAGGTTTCATGGGAGTTGTACTTCTCAGTCTAAATCTGTTTAAATGAACTTGTAGAATTGTTCTACGAATTTTCTTCTAGAAAAGTCCTTTACAGGAATAACTTTGTCACGGGAACATCCTTTTTTAGAAGGAGGAAGAGCTTTCTTGTTG